CTCTCTCTCTCTCTCCCGCAGAATTGGCCCGTGCACCTGTGCATGTGCATGTGCTTCCTTCGCGCGCAGCTTGTAGAGGCGTGCGTGAGGACTGAGGTTGCTGCTAAGCGCTGCACAGCGCGGGAGAGAGGCAAAGCGTCAAAATTTGCTGATTGGGCGGGGTTCGGTTCGATGAAGCTGGGAGATGATGGGATGGGATGATGTATGCGGCGCTTGATCTTTCCAGTCCTCTTGCCTTGCCCTTTACGCTGCCCTGCCTTCATCGCTTTGATGGCCCCCTCCATCGATCGAGAGATGCTGACGTGCACGCTTGCCCCACAATCCTCCACCCCACTCGACTGCAGTATACGATGCCACGCGCAGCGGCTTGCTCCGGGGCAGGCGCACTATGCTCAAGTGAGTGCTTGCTCGAAGAGGCCTCCGTTGGGAAACGGAGCCGTTTATAGAAGCGGTCGGGGAAGGCCGAATTGGCAGTTGACCCGACCCGTCCCATTGCTGCTTTTCATTCAGATTGTGCGCTGCCCAGCTTCGTGAGATGCAGCGTACCAACCCCGGCAAACCCCTGGTGTGGGTCGATGTTGGCGGTGGTACAGGTGAGCAGAGTATGATGCACCTTTGATTCTGCGCAGAGCACAAGCTGAACGTCGCCAAAACTTTCATGTGTCGAAACAGGATGGAACATCGAGGAGATGTCAAAGTACTTTCCTCTTCACGAACTGTCCCAGATCTACCTCATCGACCTCTGCGCCCCGCTGCTCGAAGTCGCCAAAAAGCGCTTCGCTGCAACGGACTTGAAGAATGTGCAGGTGCTTTGCCAGGACGCTCGTGATTTCCAATTGCCTGGTTTGGCACCTGAACAAAAGGTAGACCTCTTTACCTGCTCCTACAGTATCTCGATGGTGAGTTTGGCATATCGCGCGGCATCAGCGAAGCGTGCTCGGCTGACTGTGATCTTCTACGACGCAGATCCCTCCATTTTACGCCGTCATGGACCGCATCAACGAAATGCTCGACCCCGAGACTGGTATCTATGGCGTTGTAGACTTTTACGTCTCTGGTAGAAGCGCGCCATCTGCAGACAAGAGTGCCATCATCGGGGGCGATACGAGCAGACAGTGCGGCTGGCTCAGTCGTCTTTTCTGGTCTCACTGGTTCGAGCTCGACCACGTCGAGCTTCACCCTGCCAGACGCGGTGAGCAGCACGGCGGTATCGTGTGTGCAAGGCGCTCGGGACTGAGACGAAGTTTTTCTTTTTGACAGACTACCTGGAGTACAAATTTGGAACGATCAAGTGCTTCAATGGCCGCAACAATTTTATCGTGCCCTTCATCGTGCGAATGTGAGTGTCGCGGTGCTTGACAATGAAAGGTCATACGCTGCTGACCCGGGGTCCGTGGATGCAGCCCTTACTACATCTGGATTGGATGCTCTCGCGCTCGTGACACTACTGCTGCTATCCAGGCGTTTGAAGTTGAGGCCGGAAACCGCGTCATCGTGCCACCTTCATTCCCCGAGCTCAGCTTCAGCCACTTCCTCGAAGGCGCCCGCTCTCAGCTCTCGGAGAAAGGTAGCGCCAGCAGCATCGACACGGCCTTTGCTTCCGCTCACAATGGACGCGAAAAGTCTGGGCTCGTCGTGAGCCGCCGCCGAGGCTCGGATGGCAACGCCAGCGACTCTTCCGGAAACGTTCGCCTTGACCTCGGACCTCAGATTCCTCTCAGCTCTTTCCACTACCAACGCAGGCAATGGAGATTGCCCTTTGTCGACAACGAATTCGCTTCTCAATTTCGCACGTGGATTTACGGCTTCGCATGGGAAGACCCTTATGTCGATATGAAGCACTTTGACATTGGCGCCAACGACTCTGTGCTCTGCATCACGTCCGCTGGGTGCAACGCTCTTCACTACGCCGTCGCAGGCGAGCCAAAGCGCATCCACTGCATCGACATGAATCCCTGCCAAGGTCATATCTTGGAGCTCAAGCTGGCGTGCATTGCCGCTCTGGAGTACGAGGAGTTCTGGGCGCTCTTTGGAGAAGGAAAGCACGCAGACTTCCGCAACCTGCTCGACACCAAAATCTCTCCTTTCCTCAGCTCTCACGCTTACCAATTTTGGCGTCTCAACACCGAAGCGTTCAAGAGCAACTTCTACTTCCGAGGATACTCTGGACACGCTTTGAGACTTGCCAAGGCCGCCTTCTCTTTGGGACGCGTCAATCGCGATGTCAAGGCTGCTTGCGAGGCCGACACGATTGAAGAGCAGGTCAAGATTTGGGAGCGACGTATGAGGGGCAGGATCATCAACAAACCCCTCATCAGGTGGTTCTTGTCCAACCCTGCCTTTTTGTGGAACGCACTGGGCGTGCCCATCAACCAGATGAATTGTTTCGTGAACGAAGGCGTCTCTACCGAGCAGTACGCTATCGACACTTTGGATCCTATTCCTCACAGAAGCTTGTTCAAGAACGAAAATTACCATTATAGGTTGTGCCTGATGGGCAACTACACCAAGCAGAGCTGCCCGTTGTACCTCAAGCCAGAGGCCTTCAAGAAGCTCAAGGAAGATGCTTGTAGGAGGTTGGATGCATTTAGATTGCACACTGACTCTATTGTCAATGTCCTTCGCGGCCTGGAAGATGCAAGTCTGACGCGGGCCATCACCATGGACCACATGGACTGGTACGACCCAGTGAAGCCGGGTACGGCTTTCCCCAGCGTCAAGGCTGCCAGGAGGGATGCGGACAAGAGCATCAGTGATCTGGACAGGGAGATCGCCGAGCTCGCCAGATGCGTGGCGCAGGGAGGAAGCGTGTACTACAGATCGGCGGCGAAGCATCCTTGGTACAATGAGAGGTTCGACAGGGCTGGATTCAAGACTAGCCCGGTGCACATCAGGGAGACTGGCAAGAGCATCGATCAGGTCAACATGTACGCCAGCTGCTGGAGAGCCGAGCGCATCTAAGCTTGCTAGGTCTCGTCTCACTCCTCGCAGGCATCAGACCCGTCTAATGGAGATTATCGACTCTTCTTCTTCCTTTCCCCCTCACTCTCACCCTCGTTCGTGCATTGTGCTCGATCTAAAACGTCCCGGACTTGACCCACATCGATCGTATTCGCGCCCAGACATCCTAATCAGTTGGGCGCCGACCCATGCAAGAAAGTATATATAAAAAAGAAACAGTCACGCGATATCTTCTCTGCTAGCGAGGCTGATGCTTGCGTGACTGATGAGTCTGGTGATCGAAGGTTCTGAGATGCGAGCATTGTGTACCGCTGTGGAAAGAGCGAGTGCTTGCGCCGAGCTATGCCTATTGCGCGCACTTTATGGCTGCTCTATCGCACGCATACCGTGGGAGTGAGCGCGCTTCCCGCCGCGGCCCGAAGTTGCGATCGAGTGCTGCCTGCATTCGTGATTTATGAGTAAGATGTGGGGGGATTGATTGGCCCGCAGCAGTGGAGTTGCGGCTCTCTGCTGCTGCTTCATGATCACCCCCACTCACTCTTTTTCTGTCCACATTGCTTGCCAGACGTGTGTTCGAGCAAGACCTTGATCTGAGCTTGAGCACAATCAGAGGCAAAAGTACAAAAGTCGTCTCTGCGGATCCCCGCTATCTGGCCTTTTGCAAGCCTGAGCGGAGAGCAGCGGTGGGGCGGTCAGGTC